CAAGTGGAGATGTCTAGTGGACAGATGGTTATAGTTGAGTTCAGAGGAGAGATCCAAGATGGAGATACACATTTGGGAGTCATCAGCTTATGAATGTTATGAGACAGAGTGAAGTAACAAACGAGAAAAAAGTGTCTAGTGTTTAGAACTTGAGGGGAAGAGAAGAGACAAAAAGAGACTGGGAATGAATGACCATGTGGTAGGATGAAAACTAGGAGTATGGAGATATACTAAGTTTTTAAAGGAAGAGAGACTGTCAGATGTTGCAGATGGGTCAAAGATGAGGTCTGTCATTGGAATCAGCAAAATGGCAGTCATTGAGCAATTTGGTGTTAAGGGCACCTGAGTGGATTGAGTTCAAGAGCGAATGGGAGAAGAGAGATTGGAGACAGTAAGTGTGTTTGCTAATAGGAAAGATCCAGTAGATAGAGAAGGGAGGCTTATTGGAGCAATGTCCTTGAGTCGATGAAAAGATCTAGGGCACAAGTGGAGGAGTTTGCGTTGGATAGGGGCAAAATCAGCTCAGCCATAGTAAGTAGAAGCAGGAGAATATAGGCTGACTCACAGGTGTTAGGTTGATGTGGTGGGAGCCTGTGAGTGTTCTCTTCTGATAAATTTTTTTTTTTTTTTTTAATAGCCCAGATGCCCATATAGTGCCAGCTTATATTGCTAGTTCCTTTTCTTCTGTCCTTTGCCTCACCTTTCTCTCAAATTCATCCCCAAACCTTCCAATTCTCAAAATTCTCTTTCCTTGAAGAATTCATCTCTAACAGCATTAGGCCTACTTTTTGTTGTGTTTCAGGTGAAAGTTTACAGAGCAAAAATTTATACACATCTTGTTTTGTGACATTAGGTACAATCCCCTCCATGTAACAGCATTCCTCTCATTTCCTCCCTGGGTTCCTCAATTCCATTCACCCATCTTTCCTGCTCCTTCCTGCCTTCTAAACTTTGTTTTGGGGCACATGGTGCCCTTTTGGTCTAGTATGGTTGACTGTTCTGAGAAGCACATTCTTCATGGGTGTGACTATTCACGTTGTAGGCCTGTCTGTTGTTTGGCTCAAAGGTGATCTCTGGTGGTGAGTTCAGTTTCAGTTCTAGGTCAGAAGGGTGTCTAAGGGCCATAGTCTCCAGGGTTCCACCAGTTTCTATTAGACTAGTAAGTCAGTCTCTCTCTCTTTTTTTTATTTTATTATGGTTTGGGTGAAAATTTAGAGCAAATTCACTTTCCATATAGCAGTTCACATACAGTGTCTTTTTGTGAGTTTGAGTTTTGTTCTACATTTTTCTTCCGCTCTGTCCAGTACCTTCTATTGTGATTCTGATTAGGTTGGTAGTGATAGCTGTGTACTGTCTAGTTCTTCTGGTCTGAGGCTAGTGGAGTTGTGGTTTATTAGTCCTTTGGACTAAGTGTTTCTTGGAGTCTTTGATTTCTTCACCAATCTTTGCTCTGGATGGAAGAGACCAGTAATTGTATCTTAGATGGCCACCCATTCAGGCCCACTTTGACCTATTCAATAGCTAGCAAAGTGTTGAGTGAATTAAAACCAGCCATCTGCTTTGCCACTATTTTGACCCTTTAATAGTGTCTGTTTCCCACCCCCCACTTAGAGGGAAGTGGGTTTAAATAGTAATTTTTCTGTGTCTTGGGTTTATGCAGGAGGATTTTGTTTTTTTTTTCAAACTAAGACCTTTAGTGGACCAACTGATTAATAAAGAGGTTTCTGTTGTGTTCCTATCTGTTCCTGTGCCTCTTCACATTGTTTACTATAGTTTATTTTTGATATTACCACATTTGCCGATTCTGTTACCCAAATTTTCTGTGGAGTGTTTCCAGCTAGTTTTGAGTTACAGGATGTTTATAACATCTTTCATCCATTTTGAGCATTTTTTATTTGCTTGTGCATATAAATCATAGTTATTATGTTTATTACATCCACAATCCCAAACTTCTAGAATGTTAAATCCAAGAAGCAGGGTTATTTTTCTTGTTTCTATAGTATCTCTGTTGTGGGGCACTTAGGTGCTCAATAAATACATGTTGAATGAATTTAAGGAAATGGCTGCCTTATAGGCCTGTCTGGGAATAGCCCCCAGACCCCCCTCATGCTTTTTAATCATTTCTTGTGTTCTAAACTGACAGCTGAGTGCTGTAGAGTCCCTATATCACCTCTACCATGAACTATACTCATCTTCTCATTGGTCGTGGGGAAAACATCTTCTGTAAATGAAACTGACAGTGATCAGATAAAGGATTCTGGAAAGGTTGGGAGGCCAACATGTTCTAAAAGCGTTATGAGGGAGAAAGTGTTGGATCATTTCTACAGGAGGAGTGCTGGAGAGGACAGAAGAATGATGCTTTTAATTATAAATCCTTAAAGGATGATGAAACTTTTTGTGTCATTTCTGTATTATTATCTTCATTAGTTAGCATGGAATTGTAATGTAGTCTTCTTATTTGAGAGCATCAGGGCAGTTTATGAGAAGCAGGGCCTAAACCAGAAGTCATATTTCCTATTCTCAGTTCAATGTTCCTTACTATATGAGGTAATGGGAGTCTGGTAGCACAGTGCCTAAGGCACTTGACTGCTAACCAGAAGGCTGGCAGTTCAAATCGACCAGCCACTCCTCGGAAGGAAGATGGGGCAATCTACTTCTGTAGTGATACCACCTCAGAAACCCAAGGAGGGGTTGCTATGAGTCGGAGACTACTCAACAGCATATAACAACAACAACAACATATGAGGTAATAAGGGATAAACAATGAGGGCTGGTTCAGGCCTGGAACCCACATCCAAGGACCAACTTTCAGCCATACAAAAGACAGGCCTATAAAGTGAATAATACCAGGTAGGAATGTGCTCCCTCAGTACAATCAACTATATGTGACCCAAAGGGTGGCATTTTCCCCAAAACAAAGCTCAGAAGGCAGGAAGGGGCAGGAAAGAAGGAAGAGAGGAAAGGAGAACCTAGGGAGAAAGTAGAGATTTCTTACATTGAGGGGATTGCAACCAATGTCAACAAACTGTATAAATTGTTGAATGGAAAACTAATTTGCTCTGTAAAATTTCACCCAAACTATAATAATAATAATAAAAGCTAGGTTTAAATTACCCCCTTAGTGCATTTACTGGGAGCTCTGGTAGCGTAGTGCCTAAGGCACTTGACTGCTAACCAGAAGGCTGGTGGTTCAAACCCACCAGCCATTCCTCAGAAGGAAGATGAGGCAATCTACTTCCCTAGTGATACTGCTTCGGAAACCCGAGGAGGAGTCGGGTCCGACTCGAGGGCACATAACAACAGCCCATTGAACCCTGGTGACTCAATGGTTAGGCATTCTAGCATTAGTTGGATTCACCCATCATCGGCTCTGTGAGGAGAAAGACCTGGTGATTGCTCCCCTGAAGATTACAGCCTGGAAAGTCTAGAACAGCCTATAGGGGAGTTCTACTGTCACATGGGTTCATTGAGTGGAAACCTGCAACACCTAACACCACCACTTCATTTATTAACTACGAACCCCTGTTCCTTTGTTATCTTACCTATGAAATGGAGATAATTCCCTCTATCTGCCAGGATTGCTTTGAAAATTAAAAACTTCCCAGGAGGCATAGTCAAGGATATGTTTATTAAAAGAAACAACAGAGAATTATTGCAAAGACAAAGCAGGTTTACAAACGTTGGCCGGGGCGGGCAGAATGGATCCAAGATGACTGCTACACCCCTCTCACTTTGCAGGGATACTTGTACCTGAGTTCGAGGAATTGGGGATGGGGGCTACGTGACTGATTTTAGAATTGGTGGCGCCAGGTCCCTAGTGGGAGGGGGCCCTGGACAATACCCCACGACCACCACCTGTGTATGCTCTTAAGACGCTGTTGTTTTCAAGTTTAATGGCTTGAAACTATTCTAAAAAAGGGTTAATAGTTTCCAGGGTATTCCTGGTAGGTGGTTAACACATGTCATGGGGGAGCAGTGCTATACGTGACAAGGGGAGGTAAGGGAGGTAAGGCTTGCAGTCGTTACAGGTTTGGCCAAACAAGATGGAGTCTGGGAGCCATTCTGGGGGGTTTCAGTTACTGATTATACAAGCAGTCTAGGACCACATGGCGAGGAGCTACGCCAAGAGGTGGAAATATACCCACACCCGGCCATCAACCCAACGGCGAACCTCAGATAACCCTCTTCCGGGGGGAGATGCTGACGCTTGGCCCCAGCTACCCTAGCCACTCATTTTCGCGGCGCCCCGCCCTCCCAGACGTGATAGGTAGCTGGCCTCGGCCAATGGTGACACAGCATTGTAGGAGCCACAGCCAATCGGAGCGTTAAGGACCCGGAAAGGAGCATGGGGGGGCCGGGTTAGGAGAGTCTGGCGCGGCACGGGGAGGGCGAGCGGCACGGCCCTGCGCGGCGGCAGAGGTAAGATGGCGTCCGTGCTTCCTTCGCCCTTTTGCAGTTAGGCTGCTGCTTCGCCCTTCATACTCTGTTGGAACTGCTAGTCTATCTCAAACAGCGGCAGAGCCTCTCTTCTTCCTTAGGCTCTCAGGAGCCAGATTCTACTATGTCTGAAGGACAAAATGGCGCTTACACAAGCCGCGGAGGACAGGCAGGGCTCAGCCGTGAGCTCCGAGGCGGGTTTGGACAAAGGCAACGTGCGAGGAGGCGGGGCGCGGTCCTGCGGCTTTGCTGCCGCGTGGAGTCGGCGCCGGCGCTTCCTCCTCGTGCTGCAGCCGTGCGAATCCTTAATAAACTTTTGACATGGTGGTGGCAGGGGTGGAGGTGGTGATGGAGGGAGAAGTTGAGGTGAAGCAAATTCACAAATGGCTAAAGAATAGCCTGAAGGAGAAAAGAATGGCGGGGCGGGGAGTTAAAGAGAGTACCCTGCGAGGCCAACTTCTCGTCATTTAGAAACTACTCGCCGTCAGTCTGGATATTGTGGAGCAGGAATTTTCGGGAATGGTAAGGGATTTTTGACCTTTTACATATCCCTGCAGGTTTTGGTATGAACAGGATTCGGATTCACGTCTTGCCAACCAATAGGGGGAGGATCACTCCAGTGCCTAGGTCTCAGGAGCCTCTGTCTTGTTCATTCACTCATCGCCCATGCACTCAACCTCGTCTGGAAGGACAAGAGTTTTGCATTAAGCATATCCTTGAAGACAAGAATGCACCCTTCAAGCAATGTAGTTATATATCGACGAAGAACGGAAAAAGATGTCCCAGTGCTGCCCCAAAGCCTGAGAAGAAAGATGGGTATATGTGTAAAGATCTATATGTTGTTTGTGGTTTTAGTTTTCAAATGTGAAGGAAATGTAGTGTGCTGTGGGTTTAGGGTTATGGATGATAACCCCAGATAAATTGAAAATTGGAAAACAAACCCCCAAATCATAAAACTCTGAAAACTGAAAGAAGACCTGCAGTTCTGTCCAAGTAACCTTGGATGAGTCAAGTTCATCTCTTTGGATCTTTTCCTTTATCTGTAAGAGAAGGCATATTGTAGATTATTCTTAACCCTGGATCCATGATTCTTGGTTGGTCCTGAGCATTGTTAAACAATGTGATATTGTATACGTGCGCATTCTTCTGGGCTCTAGAGGCTTCCTGTTTTTATCATACACAAAGGTATCCATATGGGGCTGCAAAAAGAAATTTTCACTAGATGATTTTCCATGTATCTTCTAGTTATAAAATTGTCCCAAATTTTAATCTATTTTTTTTTTTAAAGGATTGATATTAAAGTAAAATACAGAATTGCCTTCCAGAACCAGTTTTGAAAAATGAGAGTGGATTTGTCTCTGCTTTGTTCTGAGTATTTTTTATAGTTGGAATGGTTACAGATAGATAGAACATTGGATTATGGTACTTAAAGTTCTCTTTAGTAACACAAAATTAATTGATCTTGGCAATTTAAGTTCTTGTGATCATTGGCCTTTTTGGAAATAAATGTAATGGTCATGTTAATTTCCTAAAGATGATTTGAAGCTAAGTGACTATGAAAATCATTGAATCCTTTCAAGAAGGAACCTATCTGGGTATAAAATGTGCATTTTGCCTCCTTAGGGTGTCTTTCTGTGCTGAACATGCCCGTAGGAATGCCTTGGCACTTCATGCCCAAATGAAGAAGATCAACCCAGGGCCTATGGGTGAAACACTCTTATGCCAGCTGAGCTCATATGCTAAGACAGAGCTAGGTTCTCAGACTCCAGAAAGTAGCCGAAGTGAAGCCAGCCGAATTCTAGGTAAGACTCTTCTCTCCTAGAATGAAAAGGAAGGGAAAAAAAGTTTTGGTTTAGTACAGTACCTTGAACATATTTGATAATATAGTATAATTGTTTTGGTTTAGTACAGTACCTTGAACATATTTGATAATATAGTATAATTGTTGATTCATTGGGAATTGGTGAGAATTCCAAGATTGCTATGTTTACCAGTTCTTTTGAATTTGTGGTAGTGTATGCTTAGGTTTACTGTGCTAAGTGTATGATGTTTTCCTTTTCCTTCATTGCTCTTTGCAGTTTCAGGAAACAGGAGTACTTTGGAGTTGGCTTTTCTGGCCTTTGAAGAGGGCATGGTTAACTCATTTATAATCTCATTTAATTTTAACTGGGTTTCATATTTTTAAGGATGATTTTTATTTGCCAGTGCCCTCATACTAACTTTTTTTTTTTTAAACACATTTTAAGTTCTCAATCATGCAAATGATCTAGTTTTGTATGGTGGAGAGGTGCGATGTCTTGATGACTGCTCTCCTTTCCTTGCCTCAGATGAAGACAGCTGGAGTGATGGGGAGCAGGAACCCATTACTGTAGATCAGACATGGAGAGGTGACCCTGACAGTGAAGCGGATAGCATAGATAGTGATCAAGAAGATCCCCTAAAGTAAGTTGCAACTCCACATACGACATTTGAATGTTTCCTGTAATTAGTATATGGAGTATAGGACTGCATATTGTATAAATAGATAAGTCACCGAGGATGGTTAATGACAGCTATTTGTGAACAGTAATAGCTTCTGTGTCATGGTTCATCACCATCTTGCTTCAAGGCAGATTGGATTATTTTGGAAGTCTTAAACTTTGGAACTTTTTTTCCAGAATATCAAATTTCACATAAGAAGTAGTAGGAGAGACAAAGGAAATTTCTTGGACATCAGTAGGGTGTAGGTTGGGAAATGCTCAGACAAGTTAGGGAAGAGAAAACAAGGATGTGAATAGATGTTTGACCTAAATCTCAAGAACAGTGAGGTTACTGTACCGGAATTTTGTTTTTTAAGAAAAGTAAAAGGTGTTTAAGAGTTTATCTTGGTTTCCTGACTAAGAAAGAAAAACCAGTTTAGAAACCCAGAAGTGAGTAATCAGCCTACTTGTATCTTACTAAAGCTCTGTCCTTCACGTTACCCATGATCACTTTAGGAGTTGTAGAAACATAAAATATTGCCACTTCCAAAGTGTCATGTTTCTTTTTTTATTTGCTTACTCACTTTGAACAGGTTCCAGTGATACTTTTGGTAGAAGTTCTGTAGACTGAGAGGGGTAACACATTTTTAGACTTGACTATTGGATTTTCATTCCTGGAACATAATTTATTTCATGATATCTTGTATTTTGAGATTTATAAGCAGTTATTTAGGGTTACATTTTCGGAGTAGATTAATCTTATCCATTTCTATTGAATAACCTCAGTATAGTCAGCTATTCAGGAAGTACTAATTTGGAAAGCCCATCTCAGTATTTTGAAGGTCATTCTTTAACAGAGTTCTCACAATAGTAGCAATACTAAGCTGGCTTTGTTTCCTAAACCAAACCAAACTCACTGCCAGTGAGTTGATTCTGACTCACGGTGACCCCCTCCTCAGTTCCTTGGGTTTCAAGGAGGTATCTCTAGGGAAGTAGATGGCCCAGTCTTCCTTGCGAAGACTAGTTTCCTGGTGCTGCTGTAACACAGTTACCACAAATGGGTAGTTTTCAAGAATTTAAATTTATTTTCTGACAGTTCTGGAGACTAAAAAGTCCAAATCAGGATCTCAGCCATGTCCTTGTTGATAGACCCAGGGCATTACTTTTTTCTCTTGGCAGCGGCCTCTGTCTTCATTAGAATGTGTATGCTTCTTTGCCTAATTTTCCCTTTTAGTAATTTAGAAGAGATGAGGTTTAGGACACACCCTACATTCCCATGACCTCATTAACATAACAAAGAAATCCCATTTCCAAACAGAATTACCTTTGAAAGAATAAGGGTTAGGATTCCAACAGATTGGGGAGGATACAATTCAAACCACAGCACAGAGCATGTTGTTGTTATGTGTCGACCGGACTCATAGGGACCCCTCCTTGGGTTTCCGAGGCAGTATCACTAAGGAAGTAGGATTGCCCAACCTTCCTTCCGAGGCACAAAGCATATTCATTCCTTTTTCCCTTTGTGTTAGATAGCCAAACTTGCTGTTTTTGAAGAGGCATATACACTGGTGGTGCAACGCTTAAGCACCTGGCTGTTTGAAGCCATCCAACTATTCTGCCGATGGTTGAAGCATTTGGTTGTTAACTGAAAGGTTGGTGGTTTGAAGTGACCAACTGTTCTGCAAGATAAAGATGAGGCAGTCTGCTTGGAAAATCTGTGGGGCAGTTCAGCTATGTCCAAAAGGGTTGCTATGACTTGGAATGGACTCTATGGCAGTAGTTGTTGTTGTTATGTGCCGTCGAGTCAAACCCGACTCATGGCGACCCCCCCTTGGGTTTCCGAGGCAGTATCACTACGGAAGTAGGATTGCCCAACCTTCCTTCCGAGGAGTGGCTGGTGGTTGAACTGCCAGCCGTCTGGTTAGCAGGCAAGTGTCTTAGCCACTATGCTACCAGAGCTCCCGTGGCAGTAGTAAGGAGGTTTTTTTTTTTTTTTTTTAAATTGTGCTTTGGGTGCAGATTTACATAGCACACTTGTTTTACATGCATGCACATCTGATTTCATGGCCCGATTACCATCCCCAACTATTAAAAACTCTCCTCCCTGTGACCACCCCTTCCCTGTGTCCTTATCTATGTTTTCCTGTCTGTCCAGCTTTCTCTCTATGTGAGTGTTACCCCTCTGGTGTCTCATGGCTGTTTGATCCAAGGGGTACATCTCCCTAGAGTAGGTGGGTGCATCGACCTGGGGTAGGTGTTCTGTAGGTCTATTTTGGGCTGAGAGCCAATCCATGTAAGTGAATCCATTTCCAGGGCCTGAAGGGTAACCCGGGGCCATAGTCTCAGGGGTTCCACCAGTCTTTTTCTGACCAATAATTCTTTTTTTTTTTTTTAATTAGGATTTGGGTGAAGATTTACAGAGTAAATTCACTTTTCATACAGCGGTTCACATATACTTTGTCTCATGTCATTGACCAAAATTTATAACAATGCAGCAGCTCCCCTCCCACTTCCTCCCCATAGTTACCTCCTCCCAGTGTCCATCCCTTCATACTCATCTGCACCCTGAGCTATCTCCCTGTGCATAAGCAGCCCTTCCTTCTCCCATGATTGTTCTCTCCAGGGCGTGTGTCTACTTGACTGGCCAATAATTCTTGTTATTTTTTTGTTTTTGTATTTTGTTCCACATTTTTCCTCCCCCTTTATCCAGATTTGATCCCTTTCTGAGTGGTTGGCATTGGTAGCCATGCACCATCTAGTTCTGGTCTCGGGTGTGGAAGCTGAGGTCCTCATGGTCCATCTTATCTTTGGACTAATAGTTTCCAGATAACATACCGTTTTCCACAAAGGTTGTACATGTTGCAGTCCTACCAGCAGTGTATGAGAGTTCCAGTGTCTGCAACCTCACCAGCATTTATTTTCTGTCTTGCTGAACTTTGCTGTTATTGCTGGGATGAGATGGTATCTCATTGTTGTTTTGATTTGCGTCTCTTTGATGGCTAATGGTCGTGAACATTTCCTTATGTGTTTGCTGGCCGCCTGTATATCCTCTTTAGTGAAGTATCTGTTCATTTCCTTTGCCCATTTCTGAATTGGATTGTTTGTCTAGGTTTGGATTTTGGTTAGTCTTTTTTTTTTTAAATATATTTTTGTGATTGGGTAAAATTTTACAGAGCAAATTCACTTTCCATACAACACTTCACATACACTTTGTCTTATGACATTGACTACAATTTACCCCAATGCAACAGCTCCCCTCCCACTTCCTCCCGATAGTTACCTCTTCTCTGTGTCCGTCCCTCCATGCACTCCTGCCCCCTGACCTGTCTCCCTGTGCACAAGCAGCCCTTCTTTCTCCCGTGATTGATTTCTTCAAGGAGTATATCTACCTCATGTAAATGTTCAGCTCACATGCCTTTCTTCTGTTTGGCTGGAAGCCACAGGTGTGGGTTCAATTCCAGACCTGACGGGCAGCTAGGGGCCATAGTCTCTGTGGTTCCACCAGGCTCTATCAGCCAGCAAACCGGGCCCCCCTTTTTATTTCCCCTAAATGATTTTGAGTTTTGTTCCACATTGTTCTCCCTCTCTATCCAGGATCTCCTACGTAGATCCCCCTCCAAGTGGATGACAGTTGTAGCCAGGCACCATCTAGTTCTTCTGGTCTTATAATCGTGTAGGCTGCAGATCATGTGGTCTACCAGTTGCTAGGACTAATTGTTTCCGTGAATCTTTGGTTTTCTTCATTCTTTGCTCTGGACGAGGAGAGACCCATCGTTGCATCTAGATGGCTGCTTGCAACCTTTAAAATCCCAGTTGTTACTTGCCAAAGTAGGAGGTGGAACAATGTTTTGTGTAGTATGTTATGCCAGTTGAGCTTGATGTCCCCTGTGACTAAGGTCCTGAGCTCACTGGTTCAACTATTTTGGTCACTCTGGGTAGCTGGCTGGGACAAAGAACTGATTACAGCCTTGTCCCTTGTCAGCTCTACTGTACACCTGGAAATTCTTACAGAACATACAGATAACACCTATAGGACCACTGTCTGCCAACCCTATACATTGTCTTGGGTATACTCCCCACTTCATAGGCAAACCTAATAGTTCAGCCTGTCCACCCATTTATCCACCTGTATACCCATGTTTGCCTTTAGTGACAATGCTGTACTGTATGTGCAGAAGGGTTCATCTTTGTTGTCTGAAACTCTCATGTACCTCTGTCTTCCTCTTCCTCATTGCCACCATGTTGATCACTCACATTTGGTTCATTGCCCTTCTCTTCCCCCAAATCAGTACTTATCTCTATCTATCTAACAGTGTTCCCTCCCCTCCCCTCCTACCCCTGGTAACCAACAAAGAAAATTTCCTTCCATAGATAAAACCTTTCCTTGACTTTTACAATGACAGACTAATACAATATTTGTCCTTTTGTGATTGACTTACTCAGCATAATGTCCTCCAAGTTCATCCATGTTATGCGGTGTTTTGCAGATTCTGCATTATTCTTTAGGGTTGCATAGTATTCCATTGTGTGTATGTACCATAGTTTGGTTATCCATTCCTCAGTTGATGGACATCTAGGTTGTTTCCATCTTTTGGCTATTATAAATTGTGCTGCAGTGAACATGGGTGTGCATATATCCATTCTTGCCATGGCTCTCACTTCTTTAGGATGTATACCTAGTAATGGAATGCCTGGTCAAATGGTATTTCTGATTCCAACTTTTTAAGGAATCGCCATACTGCTTTCCACAGAGGTTGTACCATTTTATAGTCTCACTGGCAGTGTATGAGAGTCCCACTCTCTCTACATTCTCGCCAGCATTTGTTATTTTCTGTCTTGTTGAACTTTGCTACTGGTGCTGGGACAGGATGGTATCTCGTTGTTTTGATTTTTGATTAGTCTTAACAGGAGTGGATTGCTTGATCTTTTTTCCCATGGACCTATCGGGTGGGTTCAAACTATCAACCTTTCATTTAGCAGCTGAGTGCTTAGCCATCGCACCACCAGGGCTCTTGGCTCCCATATGAGAATATCTTTTTTTTTTTTAAATTCACATACTTAGAAATTTGTAGTCATTTTGTGTTGGTATTTTTTGTGGGTTAATTAAAATATATTAAAATACGTGGTAGTAAATTGAATACTTTAAAGCTGTCCTGATTAAGTAATCATTAAATGAAAGGAGAATACAGATTCATAAAAATTTTTGAGTGTTGCATATCTTTATCCCTTTTCAAACATAATGCAAAAAAATTGAGAAATGTAATGAAATATAGATACATGCCCGTGTCCCCCATTCTGTGAGGTCATACATTAGGATTTTTTTTTTTTTTTTAATTCTCATTGTGATTTGGGTGAAAGTTTACAGAGCAAATTCATTTTCCATACACCAGTTAATTTTTTTTTTTTTTTTTTTTAAAGAACTTGGATGGTAAAATGCTCTGTGAAAGCATTCTTGTTTACTAGGGTCCCAGCACTGACTACTTATTAAATAATAAGCTAAATCTAACCTCTCCTTTAAGCTTAGGCTTTATTACTGTGTACTGTGTACTGTGCTTTGCTGAATTCTCTGTTTCATTCCAGACATGCTGGTGTCTACACAGCAGAAGAAGTAGCCCTAATTATGCGTGAGAAGCTGATTCGTTTGCAGTCTCTGTACATTGATCAGTTTAAACGACTTCAGCATCTGCTCAAAGAGAAGAAGCGTCGTTACTTACATAATCGCAAAGTGGAGCATGAGGCTTTAGGCAAGTTTCATGGCAGCTTTGACAGCGTGTATCATGGGCCCAGCCTGTGAATTTGGTAGTGGTTACATTAATTTCTGTCTTGGTACCCTCGGGGTGCGGAGGTGGGATTAGGCTTTTTAAACTTCCTGACATAGAGTAATAGATTTTCCTTTTTACTCTTTGTTAATCTTGAGTAGCATTATGATTGGATGCTCAGTAAATAACATCTTTACTGTTGTGACTCTCTAGGTAGTAGCCTTCTGACTGGTCCAGAGGGACTTTTGGCCAAAGAACGAGAGAACTTAAAACGACTAAAATGTCTTCGAAGGTATCGCCAGCGCTACGGAGTAGAAGCCTTACTACATAGGCAGCTGAAGGAACGCAGAATGCTAGCCACAGATGGTGCTGCCCAACAGGTAATTTGTGTATGTACTTCTAAGGTACATACACATTTATACGTTTACAAAATTAAGGTACTTCTCAAAACTCTGTTGCTCACATTTGGCTCTCAAATTTGACTTAATGGGACTTGGGTTGTAGTGAAAAGATCATTATCTAGAAGTCAAAGGGCATGAGTTTTTGTCTTGGTTCACAGATAACCGACTCTGTACCTGCACAGATAGCTGTAGACTAACATCTGCAAATTGAGCCTTTGGAATTGATTTCTAACTTACTCAGTTCAGAAATTCTTGAGTTAAAAAATAAGGCACACATGAAGCCTAAGTTGTTTGGGAATCTCATTTTAAAAGTTGGGAGTATAGGTAGAAGAATAGAGGCAGTTGAACGTTAAGAAATAAAGTTGATAGGAAACAGCGTTAAATGATCTTTCTTAAATTTGTTTGTTAAGCCCATGGTCTCAGCTTCAGTGAGAGTAGTTCCATATTTATTCATTATGTTGGTTGAGGCTCCACATAAGATTGAATTTAAAAATGGGTTGTGCTTTTAAAAGATAAACTAGTTTGAAAACCACTTGGCTATAGCATGCTTTTATATATGGGGAGGTGTTTTAAGTAAATATTATCATAGATAGTAAATATGGGTTACATATTTTTTTTGATTTACCTGTTTTCTCCATTTTAGGCCCATACCACTCGTTCCAGTCAGAGGTGCTTGGCATTTGTGGATGATGTTCGTTGTTCCAATCAGTCTCTTCCAATGACCAGACATTGCCTTACTCGTATCTTTTTACTCTGCTTGCTCAAGCTCGGATTTGCTAGCTTAGATGAGGGCTAGTAGAAATCTTAATCTCTGTGCTAGTTTGCTTAATTGAGGCCCTTGACTTTCCTTTGGCCCTGAATCAAGACCAGCAGTTTGATGGAACTGTTGGTTTCAAGCAGGAGCCTAAAGAAATGTCTTCCTTTGGTCTGTTGGCCATTTCAGAACTTTGGAAATGAAATGGTCAATTCATTAGAAAGAAACATCTGAGTCATTGGTGGTAGATGTGGACTAATACTTATTTGTAGTCTTAATACTGAGATTCTAAAATATAGGCATCCTTGATTTAACTTGCTCTTTAGAATTACAATGCTGTTAAATCTAATTATTAAAAAAAAAACCCAACCCACTGTGGAAGAGTTTATCACCCAAAAACGGTAGGATAGTTCTGAACTATGACCCTTCTTTGAGTATTGTCCCTTTGTATGATCAAGGCTCTAACTTAAATATTTTAAACATCATTTAAATTAGAAACTTTTGTGTTTCTAAACCTGAGACACTATTTTCCCCCTTTACAATTAATTTGCCTTGGAACCATCATAGTATCTCTTGATTCTGCCAAGAACTACATTTACCATTGAGTTCTGAAAAATTTTGAGTTGTTCATTTTATGTAAAAATACAACTTTACTGTGGACATTGGAAAAGTTACTTTCATAGGAAAATTGTCTCATGTCATTGACCAAAATTTACAATGCAACCAGCTCCCCTCCCCCCTTCCCCCCACAGTGACCTCTTCCCAGTGTCCATCCCTCCATACTCTTCTGCGCCCTGAGCTGTCTCCCTGTGCATAAGCAGCCCTTCCTTCTCCCATGA